ATTCCAGCCTGGATCAGATCAGTTAAATGCCCTGAGCTCAGAAGGACAGTGGATGGCTGTTCTCTGGGGCAAGAGTCCTGACTGGTTTCCTGCTGGTAGCCATCCAAAGCCAATAAAACCATGTCTTTGGGTGTGGCACCAAGAGCACTTTCTCCTGGGTGAATCTCAGCCTCATACAAGAGCAGGTAAGTATCAGATCCCATTTTACAGGTGGCTGCTGAGCCACAGTGATGGGGAATGAGTTGCCCAAGAGCCCACAAGTCAATAATGAAACCAGTCATGGAACCTAGGAGTGCTGACCCCAATCCCCTGCTCCAGGCACTACGGCAGATCTCACCGCCTCTCTAAGCCAGGAGGAGAGGGAGTAAGGGCCTGGTTGCAATTCCCAGGTCTGGGAGGCAGTGTACTGTTAGTGGTTAGTGCAGGGACCTGGAAAGTAGGACTTCTGGTTCCATCCCTGGCACTCTCACTGGTGACCCTGAGCCAGTGACATCTCCGGCCCAGACCACAATTTCCTATCAGAGGGCCTGGGTCCCCATTCCCTACAGCCCAGAGGTTGGGAGGCTTCAGGAATGTGTGTAAAGTGCTGAGGTTCATGAGATGGGGGGGGTGTCACTCCTCCTGCCTCCACATACATGGGGTCAGCATTCTGGCACTGTGCTGCTGGCCTGAATTTACCTGTCCCATGGCAATTAGCCCTGATCTGTGTTCACTGACATTGTCATCTGCCCAGTGTCTGCACCCCACCCTGCTGGCCAGGGAGTGTAACGCCCCATGGCAGCGCCCCCTCCAGCCCGCACTGGGGTTGGAGAGCGAGGAGAAGGGAGAGGGGCAGAGAGTGCATCAGAACATCCGCCCCCAGCACTCCATCTCCTGCAGCAAGTGAGTGCCATTCAGCCTGTCCTTCAGAGCCGGTGCTAGCCCATTGTGGGCCCTAAGCAGGAATGTTCCCCCCCATACTAAAACAGGCAAATTCTTATAATAAAAATCAAATAGGGGGGCCCCTTGAGCTGCTTGGGGCCCTAAGCAATTGCTTAGTCTGCTTAGGCCTAGCACCAGCTCTTGTTTCCTTAATCACTTCCCCTTTCTGACCAGGGAGGGGCAGAAATGGGAGGGGGCATCCCCCAATAAGAGAGTGGTTTGCAAGCACAGCCCCCTGGAGCCCTTCGCTGGGGGCGTGGGCAGCACATTCCCACAGAGTATTCTCCAGAGCCAGCTCCAGTATGTTTGGAAACGTCCGTGCTATAGGCCAGCCCTTCCCTTGTAGGAGACTGTTCCCCAGGCTGGGAGCCTCTGGGAGGGGCTGAAATCAGTGGGAACCCAGACACTCCACAGCCCATGGTTGTGACCTTCTGAATCTGAGCCAGGGAAATTTCCCAGGGGAAGCCCAGACTCCTGGGTTCTATTCCTTCTCAGGCTTGTGGGGATGAAGGAGTGTGGCCTGGGGCCGGAGGAGGGAGCTGCTTGTTCTGAATAACTGCAGGTCTCAGTCCCTGACCCTGCTGCTCTGAACGGATGTGACTCCCCTGCTGTCCCAGCACCATGGATGGTGTGGGGGAGTTTTGGGAGCAGCTTATCCTATGTGCTGCTGCTATGTGTGCAGATCCCAGTCCAAGTGCCCACCAGGAGGGCAGACAGGCCCATTGGGAAGAGGCTGCATTGTCCCAGACTCACAGCTGCTCCCTGCTTGGTTCCAGGATGGACGTGCTAAGGTGGATGCTGAGGAGGAAGGCTCTGCAGGTGGCCCTGGAGCCAGAGGGAGGCAGCTGCAAGTGGTTCCAGGAGGAGAGTGGCCCCCTCGTCCCCCCCGATGGGGAAGCAGCTCCTATCCAGCTCAGGAGGTGGACATACCCGGCCTTCCTGAGCAGCAGGAGACCAGCTCTTGGAGCAGGGAATGAAGTGGGAGGGAGGAGGCATCCACACAGAGATAGAGGTGGCCCAAGTTCTGGCTGGCAGACAGCACCCAGCCCACGACAGGAGCCAGGCAACACATCTCTTGGTTTGCTTCTGCTTCAAGGCCAGCCCCCAGGAGCCCAGCCCCAGTGGGCTAGCAGGAGGCATTACTCTGCCCACTCCCTGGACACCTCCCCGCTTCCCCAGGGCAGCAGAGTGGTTGCTCCCAATGGGACAGTTGCAGCTCCCTGACTGCAGGCTGCTGCAGGTGAGCAGAGCCCTGGGCATGGGGAGAAGTAAGAGACTGTTCACACCCTGTGCCTTATTGCTCTGTCAGAGTTGTTGGGGGATCCCAGCCAAGGGGTCTGGCCTGAGCCATGCGACCCTACTGATGCCAGTGGGAGTTGCATAGCTGCCCTCTGCAGCAGGGCATGGGCGGGGCTGCTGGCAAGTGGGTGGTGGCATCTCCTAGGGAGGACAGGAGAGTGCAGAGCCCTTTGTGGAAGAGGTCTGGGGCGGAGGTGTCTGAGGGAGGAGCAGTGTGAGGCCCTCTCTACCATGGGGCCCATACATGGGAGCGGGGAACATTAACTCTTCTCTCTCTGCCGTGCCCTGTCCTTTCTCTTCCTTCCCACAGCAGCAGGAGTGTCTCCCTTCTCTCCCTGATGCAGTGATCCCCAGAGACCAGTTGGAGGAGTTGGATGCAGAGGAGGAGGAGGATCTGGCCCCAGAGGATTACAATGATTTGACCACGGCAGAAGCTGGTTGGAAGATCGTCATGGAGCATCTCCAAGGTGGAGACAAGATACAAACATTGCCCAGCAGAGTGGAAACCGAGTCCTTCCTCCCCCTCGTCCCATCCCAGCTCACTGCGGCGGGGCTTATCTCAGATGATCCACAGCCCCTAATGGGAATGGTTATCCCCTAGGATCTGGGACCCCCAGAAGGATGTGTTCATCCCATACAATCTGGGGTCCCCTCCCCCTACTGGCCTTGTCCTGGTTCCTGACCCTGCCTGTGCTGGAGGAGGAGCTGGTTATGGGAGCCAACCCCCTCACGTGCTTCACCACACAGAAGAGGGGGCAGGACAACCTGGAGCTGCCCAGCTCCAAAGCCGCCCTGGCAGAGAGGATTGCGGTGAGTGAAACACTGCTCCGGGCACCTGGCGGGAAGGCAGGAGACATGGAATGAGAAGGAGTCTTCCGTGGGCCGTAGGGCAGATTGGTGGGGCTAGAGGGGGCAGAAGAGGGCAGGGACTGCCTGGCTGAGGACTGGGCATCAGCGAAGGGAAATTTGGGGCATAATCACTAGGGGCAGGTGGGGAATCATGGGGCTGGCGGACAGCTGAAGGAGAAGGTGGGGAGGTTGGGAGAAGGTAAGTTTGACAGGAGGGAGGGAATTGGGAGGACAGGGCCCAGCTGTGCTGGGGGGATCCTGCTGGCTGTGTTGGGGTGCTGGCACCCTCCTCTCTGGGGAGTGCCTGGGGGTCAGTGGGGCCTGAATCTCACACGATGCTTTGGGTCTCACAGGAGCTGATTGAGGTGCTGCCCTTGGACTCTGTGTCCAGCTCCATCCTCTCCAGCTCCATGGTGGCCATGTGCAACCTCAGATACCAGGACCTCCCACCCAGCTCCCCCCACCCCAGTGCAGCTCACACCCAGAGCCAGGAGTCACTGCACCTCCCAGGTCACCTCCCAGCTGTGGCAGTTCCCTCTGGTGGCGAGTGTATGTGGAGGGGACAGTCACTCTCTCCTGGCTAGACTGGGAATTTCACTGACCCCAGCCAGGTCACACCCGTGCTTGATGCCCCAGTTTCCATTCTTGCCAACCAGTGCCTAGATCCTCACAGTTTCATGCCCCATGTTAGTGCCAGTCCCAGCTCTTCCCTGGAAAGTCTAATACCAGCTCCTCTCTCCTACCAGCAAACTGCAGCCAGCCCAGGATCCAGAGATGGAGTCTCACCTCCTGCAGGCCACCAAGCACAGTATGTCACCATGACCATGGACAAGGACCCCCACATCCAGGTAGATCCTTACCCTACTCCTCCATGTCAGGGGCAGGAGTGACCTCTGGTCCATGCTCCCTCAATTCGCTGGAACTGCTGAATTGGGGGAGGGAAGAGATGGGAAGAGGCTGGGGGGTAACAGAGGGCTGGGGGGGCCCTTCCTCCATGGGAGATTCCTTTACCCTCCATCAGGAATCCTTTCCTTCCTACCATGTTTTGTGCTTTGGAGCCTGGAGTCTGTCCGCAAACCTAGCTCCCATCCATGGCAGCTTGGCTGTGCCACGTCCTTCTGTGTGCCATGCCCGGGGAAGAGAATTACTAAGAACCAGGATTGAGGAGCCAGCTGTCATCCTGCCATGAACACTTGTGAACTGTGCAGTGAGGGATTGGGATCGGGGAAGCCAGGCTGAGTGTAGGGTCTCCCCAGGGCTCCCTCTAGAACCCTTGTACCCATCCTGTGGCAAGTGTACCCTGGGTTCCATGACCCTGACCCACATCTCTCTCCCCCCTTTGCAGGCACTGCACAAGGCCTTGGCGGAGAACATGGATATAATGCTGAGGAGCCTGCTGGCAGCGTCCCACAACACAGAGTAGCTCCAGCACATCTTAGAGATGATCATGGTGGGGATGGGCCAGGGAATTCTGCTAACCCCGTTCGGGGCTGCAAAGGAGAGACTGGAAGATCCATGTTTCCATTGTGTCCCCCTAGCTGGAATTCCATGGGGCCACCTTGGCCAGGACACTCTGCCATGCAATGCTGTCCTCCTTCTGGGAATAGCGGGAAGGAGCTGTGCCTTCAAGCCTGGCTCTGCAGTGCCTCCTTTTGGCTGGATTTGGTGTAGCCATTCACAGTATACCAGGCTGGCTTGGGGAGCAAGAGCCTCAACCCTAGTGAGACTCAGGGGATGGTCCTGAGAGAAGAGTCACTGGCTTCTCCCTAAGAAGACCCTGAGATACAGGAAGATCCTCGGGGAATTGGCCTTTCTCTCCCAGGGACATTGAGACCCTGGGAGGATTGTCCTCACCACCACTTACTCTGTCCCTCTGAGGGCTTCAGAACAGGGAGGGTGGCAGGGGTCTGACTTCTGCCTGATGAGCTGTTCATGAGTCAGGGGAGCAGAGAGGATGGGACCAGCCCCAAGACCAAATATTGTCCCAATCTACTGTGACTGGCAAGTCACAAGCAGTGTCCTGGGTGCAGCAAATCCCTTCTAAAGCTCTGAGATCAGTGAGTCGGCCAATTCCACCAAGCACAAAGTCTTCAGCTGCTGGAGGTCTCATTTGTACAGCATGTGGGCCTTCCCTTTCACCATGGCCTGCCTCCTCCTCTCACAGCACATCGGCTTCTGCATCCACTCCAGAGTCACCCAGAAGAGAGCCAGGGCTCTAAAGACCAGCACCGCCCTGCTATGATATGCCAGCCACCTCCCAGGATTTGACCCAAGTGACCTTTGACCCTGAGTGTAGGCAGGGCTGGCTCTGGCAAGGCTGTGGGATCTAGGGGCTCTGGGCTGGGATGCAGTCAGAGCTGGCAATCAGATGATCATTTGGCAAGTTCTTCTTCTCCTGGCTAAGTGGTGCTCCCTGGGTCTGTAGGCAACTGTTCCACAGCTGCTCCAGCCTGACTGTGCCTGGCCTTGGTTCGTTCTTCTTATCCTGGAGCTGCTAGGGGGTGTGAGTTCTCATGCAGGGCCCTGCCCTAGTCCCTCTGCTCCAGGCTCTATTTGGGGCAGAGGGAATTAGGGCTCTGGGAAGGGCAAGACTCCTGGCCTGGGAGAGACTGGGAGCTGAAGGTGAAACGCTAATGGATTCACCCTCCTCTTCCTTCTACTAGAACTCCTCCAAGTTCCCCCACACAATTAACCCTTTACTTTTGGTGATCCAGCTGCAAGCTGCTGAGACTGAAATCAAAGACTTGCAGTCAGCGTTTGAGCTGGAGAAGATTGATTATCTCACCATTGTTCGCTGAAGGAATGGGACTGCTTCTTCTTTCAGCAGCTTCTGGATCAGGTGCAGCCCCTCATGCCATGTGACAGTAACTATAGCAACCTAGACAAGATCAGACACGAGTCGGTCTGGGATGAGGAGATGAGGACAGCGGCTGCTGAAAACTCCTGAAGCCCGTCATTCAAAAAACCAGCCCCCCTGCAGGTAAGAAAGGTATCTTCGTTGTACTCCCATCCACACAGCATATCCTTGGCTCACTAGCATGGCCAAGTGTGTTGCATTCGGATAGTACTCACGTATAACACAGTTGTTGGTTCACGTGTACAGAATAGGCTGTAATCTTTCTGTGGGAGCCTGGATGATAATCTAGCTAAATGAGGACAAAAACATCTCTTACTGGGACTACCTGACTATTTTGAAGGGGTGTCATTGATTTCAGTGATAGCAGGGAATCTTGTGCTAAACCTAACAGAATAACCAGTATGTGATTATATACCACAAGCATCTCTGGGCCAATTCTTTTCCATCAAGGACCTTGAAGCACTTTGAGATTAATGAATTTAGGCTTCACAAGCCCTCATCAGGTACATATTATTAGACTGGTTATAAAAAGGGGGAAACGGAGGAACAGAAGGACACGACTTCCCAATGTGTCATAGTGAGTCTGTAGTAGAGTGGGGGCTGGAACCCAGGATCCCTGACCCCCAGTCTTGTGCTTTTTATTTCATTCCCTTCTGTGTATTAGCTGCCTTAGCCCAAGAGGTGAACCATTTTCCCTACAAGGTTGAAATATTCACTTCACAGACCTGCAGGCCCCACATGTAGTAGCATTGGCAGGTGCATAACATGTGCCATCCACTGGATAAAAAGTATAGGGCAAGGGTCCTTCTAGGCCCCCTGTGGCTCAGTAAACAATGATCTGGGGTCTCTGTAAGCAGCAATGGGGAACAAGGGGGAGAGTCAGGAAAATCTGAAACTGATTCAGTGCTGCTGGTCCTTTAAGTTATGCCTTCATTCTCTCATAGCAGTTCCATCACTGCCACAGACTAAGCCAGCCAGGAAGAGCTCCTCAGGCGAGAACGGAGAGCTGATGATGGTAAGCTGCACTTCTCCTCCCGGGACCCTGAGGGAGCCTTCTGAGAAGAGTCTATGTTGCTACACAGCTGTTCCTTCTGGAGGAAATAGGCAGAGGACTGAGTGGCCTCCAGAGGGACTCATACCCAGCCATCACTGGCCATTAGAATAAGGCTGGCAGTGCCTCAAGGGTGTGTGTAAAGCAGAGTAAATAGTGAAGCAGTGAGCTGGCCTCACAGTCCAGTGGCCAATCAGTGGAGTGTAGGACCCTGGCCAGCAGGGGCTGGGAATGCTGGGAATCCAGCCCCTAAAGAGGAGAGACAACCCAGGCCAGAATGATAGACAACACAGCCCTAGAGCAGTTCCAAGACTAGAAGGAACAGGTCTCAAGTCCTGGTTAATTGGTACCATCCTAGTTCTGTGACAACCACAGAAACACTCCTTGCTTTGCTTTGCTTGGCCTCTCTGCCCAGGACACAGTGACCTAGGACTAGGATAGTGCAGCAACTGTGGACGGAAGCTTATTCCCAAACTTCTGTGGGGATTATTGAAACCTGCCTCATGGCTCAATTGCTGATTTCCCCCTCCCACCCATGCTAAACCTTAGTAAATGGGACCAATCCCATTGCTTCTAGTAGTTGCTGTGGTCCCTGCAGGTCCCCTTGGCAGGAGTTTTGGACAGTGGATTTGCATGGTTTGCAAACCTGCTGGCCATGTACCTATTGCAGCCTTGCAGAGGGTTGCCAGAAAGCCATGCTGTGCAGCACATAGAGTCCGTCCCCCCTTCCAGTGTAGCAGAATTGCACCTGTATCATTACATTTTGGACTTTGCTTCCAGCTATTGGAGGTGGTGGCAGGATGTAGCCCGATGCCTGTCCAGACTATGCCCAAGAATGTATGTTCTGCAGGGTTACTGTTGCCCAGATTGGATTATATGTTCGATCACTTCATATTATCTCTAAGTCTCTGGCCCTAGCTCATGGAATGGTGCTTGGCTGCTTAAGAGCTGGAGCTGAGGGGAGTACTGCTCACAGCTTTTTGTGATCCCAGCAGGAAGAGGACCGCTACAAACTGATGCTGAGGAGGAGTGACAGTGAGAAAATTACCAGTAACTATTTCCTGTCCAAGCGAGCCAGCCAGATCCTCAGTGCTGATCCTACAGAGTCTTCATAAATATCTGACACTCCTCCTTTCCTTTTGTCCATTTGCCTGTATCTCCTCCAGTAGGGTGCCATTCCATCTGTCAAGCTCAGCACCTCTCATACCCACTTGAGATGGTTGAATGATATGAAAGACACAAACAGCCGACTGACGCGCTGGTACCTATTTCTCCAGCCCTATGCATTCCAAGTTCCGGATAGGGAAGGCAAAGCTCCCCAGAACACTGACTTTGCTCCCCCGCATTCCCTGGAGAAAATGTGATGGCCCCAGCTCTACTAGCTCCATCTTGGGGGCGGGGTGTGATTGGGTGCACAAACCCTACACTGAGCAACAAGGAGCTAAGGAAATACTCTGGCCTAGCCAGCCCCACCGCATCCTTGGCAAATGCACCAACTGGAGGAGGGGGTAAAAGGCAGGTGAGCAGCTCATTTTGTAGCAGACCAGGAAGGAGAGCAGACATGCTACTGGCAGCTCCAGGAGAGACGAGCTGAGAGACGTCAGAAACTCCCCCTAAACAACTGCCAAAAGGTCCCTCCCTGAGGAAAGGGAAGACCTGCTGCAGGGACAGCCTGAGAGAGAAGCACTTTCCTCACCCTGTCATATGAACTCTGGACTTGATTTATTTGCTGTTTGGACTACCCCAACAGGGGAAAGTCCTTGGACTGAGCTGGCCCCAGGAGACTGGGCCATACCCCAGGAGGAGGCAGTTGCCACCCAAGAGGAAAGGAGAATGACCTCACTACATGCAGCCACCAGACGGTGCCGTGGGGTGAACAGACAACCCTCACACTGCTTTACCCCAGACAGTGACCTTGGGACAGTTGCAGGGAGGTGGTAGGAAGTGGCCTTAAGCATCCTGAGCTGTCAGAGTCCTGATAGCCATGGGTGCTCCGAAGCTCACGCACTCATGGATAAAAATACGGGGTGTTCAGCATGCACCAGCCACATTGGTTCAGGCCTGGGCTGGCTGCCAGCAGACCGGCTAGCCGGAGGCGCTCAGGGGAGGGGTGGAGCAGGGGTAAGAAGAGGCGGAGCAAGGGCAGGGCCTTGGGCGAATGGGGCGGGGCCTAGGGGCAGAGTGGGAGTGGAGCATCCACTGGGGAAAAAAATGTCAGCACCTGTGCTGATAGCCCACAAAGAGCCATGGGTCAGAGCCCAGTGGAGTAGGAGGGCCTGGGATCCCCTCACAACAACCCCTCTGAATGTCACAGGCCTGAGCCCTGACCAGTAGATGGTGCTCCCCTCCCAACCTGGAGCGAGGGCCGTCACGTTATCCCAGTAGGATTGCCACGGATCCCAGGTTTTCAGGGAATAAAGCACCATGGGCTAGAGGTTCTGCAGAAGCAGCACCCTTAGCCTGTGTATCACTCAGTGGCGCTGGTGATTCTTTAATGGACACCAGTCCCCCTGGGGGCCTTCATGGGCAGTGTCCGCAAACATTGCAGCGGCCTTCCTTGGCAGTTACCCTCTTAACAATGTAGCATTTGGTGGCACAATCCTCTTATCACAGCGGCTTTTGGAAGGGACAGTTTGACTTTCCTTTGAGTTTAGGGTCAGTGGAGACAAATGCTGCTTCCAGGGGTTTTAAAGTCTGTAGTGACAACTCCAGGTTCAAGCTGGGGCTGGCACATTCCTCCATGACCTGCTTCCCTGCCACATGTGTTCAGCAAGCGCTGCACATTTAGTCTTCCATTCAGGTCACTGCCGCCCCCAGCAGGTGGTGGGAAGTCAAACCTCTGTATTTGGACTAAAATCTTTAGGTGATGTGACAAAATTCCTCAAAAAAAGCCTTAAAATCACTTTCCGTATTTCCCAATGCAAGTTTCCTAGACAGCACTTACTTATTTCCTTTTGGATGTCACAGCCACAACTTGAGCTCATGTCCCATACAGACTTCTCCAGTCTTATTCCTCATTGCAATAAGACAGAGAGAGCTTCTGGCAGTATCGCTACCATATCACAGCCATTTCTGCTTTCTCTTCTCTTGAGAAAGAGTCTGAAACTGACATCATTTATGAGGCACAGACTCTGTTCTCCAAGAAAATACAGTTTACACATTTATTCCCTGAGTCCTCTAGATCAGATCAGAAACTGCAGTTCAATGAGACAGTGGACATGATCGCTCCTGTCCTTGTGTTCAAGATGTTAGAGTTTTGTAAACTGTATGTTGACTGTTTATATTTTAGTCATTTATCTTATGTGCAGGACATCTGGTTAATGATCACAATACATTGCCTTTTAATGACAAACTCAGGCTGACTGCTGTTATATTTAGAGTTCATGTTCCTTTGCATTTTTGCCAGATGTTGCATACATTGGCCACTATCCCTCTAGCTGTAAAACACTGGGTGGGGAGTGCCTTGCCCATCAGCTTTTGCTTCGTATTCTGCTGTTGATCAGCAAAAGACACTGCCTACTCTAGCTCTCCTAGACCATGAGAGGCGACCCAAATGGCAGGGCATAGCTTGGAGAAGAGGAAAGGGACACATGCTGCAGCGTGGGTACGAGCAGTGGCAGTGGGAAATAAGCCCCCTGTGGTGGGCAATAGAGCACAGTTTGTAGCACTGCTCGGACAGTAACAGTGTTGCCTACTCTCATGATTTTATTGAAAATCTTGCAATTTTTGGTGCTTTCCATTAAGCCTCAGCTCTTGGAGTCATGTGATTACTTGGGACTCTCAGCTTTATTTTAACAAGTAAGTTTCTAGCCCTCGCAGTGACAGTGAAAAACATCCCAATGTGATTACCGAAGGGCACAGCTCCAGAAGACAAAGACCCCAATGTTATTTTTGTTAAACATGACTTTTGAGCCAATGTTATGATGGGTGTGTGGCTCCTAATATGAATGCTTGGGGGTGGATACTGCAGTAAGCCTGGCCCAGGCACAGCCTCTGGGGCAGGGAGGGAGGCCTGTTCTTCAGCCCAAGTTGATGGCGGAGTTGAAGACTGCAAAGGAAATCAGGCAGTTAGTAGAGACTAAGAACCTTTTCAAGGATAAAACCTATCGCTGCGCATGAGGAAGAATTTTTCTGCAGAAAAGGACCTAGGGGTTACAGTGGACGAGAAGCTGGATATGAGTCAACAGTGTGCCCTTGTTGCTAAGAAGGCCAATGGCATTTTGGATGTATAAGTAGGGGCATTGCATAGATCGTTCCCCTCTATTCAACATTGGTGAGGCCTCATCCAGAGTACTGTGTCCAGTTTTGGGCCCCACACTTCAAGAAGGATGTGGAAAAATTGGAAAACGTCCAGTGGAGGGCAACAAAAATGATTAAGGGACTGGAACACATGACTTATGAGGAGAGGCTGAGGGAACTGGGGATGTTTAGTCTACGGAAGAGAAGAATGAGGGGGGATTTGATAGGTGCTTTCAACTACCTGAAAGGGGGTTCCAAAGAGGATGGCTCTAGACTGTTCTCAGTGGTAGCAGATGACAGAACAAAGAGTAATGGTCTCAAGTTGCAATGGGGGAGGTTTAGGTTGGATATTAGGAAAAACTTTTTCACTAGGAGGGTGGTGAAACACTGGAATGCGTTACCTAGGGAGGTGGTGGAATCTCCTTCCTTAGAAGTTTTTAAGGTCAGGCTTGACAAAGCCCTGGTTGGGATGATTTAATTGGGGATTGGTCCTGCTTTGAGCAGGGGGTTGGACTAGATGACCTCCTGAGGTCCCTTCCAACCCTGATATTCTATGATTCTATGAGGCCTGGTTGGATCATGCTGTTCAGGTGGAACAGGAATGGACATGCTGCAAAAGGGAAAAAAGAAAGAGACTAGTGGAAAGTCTGCAAAGACCTGCTCCGAATCTATCAGGGTACTCAGGGCCAGTAATCCAGAGGCAACTGCTGCTGAATACCTCTCACCTTTGGAAGGCTTTGAAATCACTGAAAATGGAGAGCATGCTATATTAAAATTCCAGACTGCCCATCAGGAACTTGGAGCGAAGCTACCTCAATATCTGGCACAGATGGAATGACTCCTGCAGAGAGCCCACTGTAAGATAGGAATAGGCAGGGAGTGATTTGGATTGTCTCAGACTGGAGCTAGGGTTAACGGGTGCTACCCATACTGGATTGATGTTGTTCCCGTTGTGATTAAAGGACAGAAAGAGGAATCCCCCATCTTTTGCCACACAGATGAGAGAGGTCAGGGAGTGGGAAACAGGATTGTGAAGATAACCCTTCCTGAAGGACTGAAATGAGAGTGTGTACTATGGAAGCCACTCAGTATAACTCCACTCCAGAAAGTGACCTTGTGATGAGACAGATCACTGAGTTGCAAGAGAAAGTAGCTGTCCTGACAGTGAAACAGCACTTTGTAGTGTCTCTCCAACAAATGACCGGAGGTAAAGTGTCTCGACTCCCAGAGGCAAATGCAAGATGGACAGCTATACCAGAGAGGCAAGGGTCAAGAAAATGATAGGGCCTGGTGGACCGCCCACCTCTTGGAGCCCATGCGTTTCTGTTATTGGAGTGGAGAAGATGGTCATTACGTATGAGGATGTCCAAATCCTGTAAACCCTGGGAGAGCTGAAGAATGATTTAAGGCCCTCTACATCAGTAAGACAGCGGGACACTTTGGAGGGACCAGGTAAGGGAGCACCATGGGTCCTGTAATCACCTTTGCTTCTCCCCAACTCAAAGACACGAAGACTGAGTCTTTGCCTCCAACTATGCCAGGCTTGCCTGTAGAACTGTGGACCAAAGTCTGAGGTTGGGGTTACTATTGAGGGAATAGAGTGTACAGCTGTTCTAGATAGTGGCTCTCAGGTCACTGTCATCTTCAAATCCTTTTACTGGCAATATCTGACCCATCTGCCCCTGCAACCCCTAACCAGGTTGGCTGTCTGGGGGTTAGCTGACGAGTAGCAATACCTAGGATATGTGCTAGTGAAATTAAAATTCCCAAAGGATGTGGTTGGAATTGAGAAAGAGAGAGACACTCTTGCTTTGATCTGTCCGTCCACTGGATATCCAAACCAGATGCCTTGTATAGTAGAAACACACGCAGCCATGGCTCAGCTATTCAAAGAGTTTTCTGGACCTAAGTACGCACAAAGCCTGGAGATCCATGCACTGTGTTTAGAAGCATATCAAGCTAAAGGAGGAGAGCGAGCTCAGTGTAGATTTCAAGGACTGGTGGGAATGGTCAAACTAAAGATCTGGGCCTCTAGTTACTATTCCTGCTAGGACAACCCATCTAGCGGATGGAATTGCTCAAGTGGATCAGATGGACACCAATCAGTTAAGCCTGAGTGAAGCTTTAGATACAGATGTGCTGCTGGGCAGATTGATGGTGAAGAGAGGCATAGCTAAAACCTCATCTTGTACAAAAGTGCCAGAAAAGCTACCAGTGGCTAACGAAACTGAGCACCCAATCACTATCCCCCGGGGAACTGCAGTAGCTCACATATACTTGGCTGCCACAGTGGCCCATGCTGCTCAAAGATTATACCCATATTTGACCCAGAGAAGTGGAACTTTGGAAACTCCCCAATTCCTCCAGCGTGGAAAGAGAGACTGAAATGGAAACTAACACAAAGGCCCCAAGTGTTCACCACTTGTGGAATGTGGGTTGTGTCAAGGGAGTTGAACATCACATTGGGTTGAATGATGATAGGCCTTTCCCTGAACGATTGAGAACACTAGCACCTGCAGATGTGGCAGATGTTTGGAAGTCTGCAGAAATCATCAGGAACTCTAGAAGTTGTTATGCCTCCCCAATTGTTGTGGCCAGAAAAAATAATGGGGATGTACACATGTGCATAGATGACTGTACTTTGAATATCTGTAGAATCCCCGACCACCCCAAAAGTGGATGATGTCTTAGACTGCCTAACAGGAAGGTATTGGTTTTCCATTTTGGATCTGAGAAGTGGACACTATCAGGTACCCATGGGACCAGCTAATAGGGAAAAGACAGGCATCATCTGTTCATTCAGATTCAACAAATTTCTGAGAATACTCCAGGGAATATCTGGGGCCCTGGCCACATTCCAGAGATGAATGGAGCAGACCGACGGTGACATGAACCTTCTGGAAGTCCTGGTATATCTGGATGACTTGATAATGTTCAATCACACTTTGGAAGAGCATGAAGAATGCTTGTTGAAAGTGCTGGACTGCCTGCAGGAACAAGGATTGAAACTATCTTTAGACAAATGCCAGTTCTGTCAGGAAAAAATAAAGTACATAGGCATATAATCTCTCGAGATGGAGCTGCTGCAGATCCAGATAAGCTGGAAGTCTTGAGGGCATGGCCAAGACCCAAAACCTTGAAAGAATTGTAGAGTTTCTTGGGATTCTGCAATTATTATAGGCAATTTGTAGAAGGAATTTCTGACCTTTGTTGACCCTTAAATGAACTCACCACTGGGGTATTCCCCCATAGGAAAAGGCCAGGCTCTACATCCAGATGCCAACTGCTACCAAGTCAATGAACCCTTTGGTGACTGGTGGACTCTGAATTGTGAGAATGCTTTTCAGATGTTAATAGATACAGTAGCGTGCGTCAGTGCGTTAGTTTGGGCAATACTAAAAAAAGATATCTACTACACATTGATGCTAGTATGGAAAGACTTGGAGGAGTCCTCTACCAAGAACATCCAGCTAGATGAAGACCAGTTGCCTATGCTAGTAGGAGTCTAGCATCATTGAAAGAACTAGCCAGTTCACAAACTAGAGTTCTTAGCATTAAAGTGGACTCTGACCAAGAAATCCCATGATTATCTCTGTGGAGCCAAATTCACAGGCTGTACTGATAACAAGCACCTGGCTCGGTTCCCCCTGCCTGAGGGGCACGATGGTGAACCCTCTGGCTCTGTTCCCCCTGCCTGAGGGGTGCGTGGGTGACCCTGCTGGCTCCGTTACCCTTGCCTGAGGGGCATGAGGGTGATAGCCATGCCCCTGGCTCCATTCCCCTTGCCTGAGGGATGCATGGGTGACTCCTGATGGCTCAGTTCCCCTTAACTGAGGGGCACATGTTGTCCCCGATAGCTCCGTTTCCACTGCCTGAAGGGTGCGCGGGCCACCCCCCTGGCTCAGTTCCCCTGGCCTGAAGGGAGTGCTGGCGACCTCTCGGCTCGGTTGGCCCTGCCTGAGGGGAGCACAGGTGACCTCCCTGGCTCTGTTCCCCCGGCCCGAGGGGAGTGCGGGTGACCCTCTGAGTGACTCGCCAGCTCGGTTTCCCCTGCCTGAAGGGAATGTTGGCGAACCCCCTGCCTCCATTACCCCTGCCTGAGGGGTGCACGGGCAAC